TAACATCCAAGATGATTTAATTTCTCCTTGGTCTTGGTGATAAAAGTAATATGTGTAACTTTTGTAGATGGAGGGAGTAGTAGTGTAGGCAATTGGCGTTAATTTCATCCGACTTAGTTATAACTCTCTTTGCACCTTGTGAATACAATAAGGGCCTGTTTGGCACAGTTCCAGCTCCACCTCTCCTGAAGCTGGAGCTCAGCCAAACAGTTTCAGCACCACTAAAAATATGAGCGGAGCTGGGTGGAGCTCTCTCACAAAATGAACTAGAGAGGTGGAGCTGGGTTTAGGCAGCTCCACAACTCCACTCCAGACCCAACTCCTGGAGCTAAATTTAAGAGTTGGAGCTCTACCAAACAGTCCCTAAGAGCAAGTATAATAGTGAGCTATAAGTTTACTATAAGCACGTGGAGGAGAGAGGTAATAAAAAATCAAGGATGTTGGCTCTCATGCAAGAGCTAGCTTAACACAAGCTCCTAGGTAAATACATTAAATGTATAGGTGAGAGATAGAGAGAGGAGAAGAAAATTGTAGCCAATCTTATAGCTAATCCATTATATATGTTGCCTCTAAGATAGGCTAATAGTAAGAAGTGGGCTCTACTATTACTCTAAGTGACCTGCAATGCTAGACCGATCAACTTCACATCATATTAAAATAACTTACTTCCTCTCAAACATGCAGCTCACTCTCTCTGCACTCATCACTTTTTTCTCGAAGCCGATGTTGGAGCCAGCGATAAAATTGTCGCTCACTCTCTCTCCTCCCCTTACTCATCCAGTTAATCAGTGTAGCTGACATGTTTCTCCTATCACTAGTCCAGCTTGTACTATTGTACTCGCTCTCACTCATCTATGCACCAATCGAAAAGAAGATAGGAGGAATGGTGGGCCCAAATAAATAGGTAAACAATACTTATATGGAATACGAGAAAAGATAACATGGACAACTAGGGGAATATCAAGTGAAAACCATCAAATAAGTGAAAACCCGTGAAAACTGCATCTAAAAGTTTTATAAATTTATGAAAAAATTACTAGAGATAGGTATAGGCATGAAATACATTCATACCAAATCTCTAGTAATTTTTTCATGAATTTACAAAACTTTTAGATGTGGTTTTCACGGGTTTTCACTTATTTGATGGTTTTCACCGGATATGTCCCCGGACAACTATTGAAAAGATCACCTATAAAACTGCTTGCTATATATAGCTGACAGGAAGCTACCACGCGGACATTTAGAGAAGGTAGCCGACGCTGCTAAATTGCCCTTGCCCTTAGTTTTAGAGTAAGTAAGTTTAATAGTATAGCTAAACGATAGCTCTAAAAATTAACATATCACCTACAGCTAATTTTTATATATAATGATTTTGTATAAATATATTTAGCTCATCGTTTTTTCCTCTCTCTCCTCTTCTCTTTTCTTCAGGCATATGCTCTTATAGTACATTTTCTATTTTACTTGCTCTTACACTGCATTTGATAGTACCTGTTACTCTGTTAGGCTAGTTAATTAGTGAAAAAACAAGACAAGCCATTAAATGTATGATTAATTAAGTATTAACTTTTACATATATAAAATAGATTTATTTAATTATTTAAAGAAGCTTTTATTTTTTTTAAGGAATAAGTTCACCGGAGGTCCCTCAACTTAACAGCGAGATTTTTTGAGATCCCTTTACCACAAAACCAGAAATGTTTACCCCTAAACATACTAAAACTATTCACCCAAGGTCCTATGGCAGTATATATGGGTGGTTTCGCTGACGTGGTATCCTAGTCAGAAAAAAAAAGTATGTGGGGCCACATGTCAGCTGCACATTTTTTTCTTCTCTTTTCTTCTCCTTCTCTTCTGTTTTCTCTCTTCTCTCTTTCTCTTCTTCAATGAGAGAGGCTCGGCATCGGGGCAGATGACCGCGAAGGTGGAGAAGAGGGAGAGGGCCTCCCAGGGGCAGCCGTGGCGGGAGAGCGCGGAGAGGATGGCAGTGTAGGACGAGTAGGCGAGGGAGGGAGAGAGGGTCGACTAGGAGAGCGCGCCGCTCGCCGGCGGCGGGGCCCGAGGTCGAGCACCCGGCGCGTTCGAGCATCTCTGCCGCCGAGCTTGCCGTCGCGCCGGACACCACCTCTCTTCCTCTCCCGCCGCCACCGTCGCTTTGGCCACCTCTCTCTCCCTCTCCCCCCGCCGCTGTCCCCATTCCGCCGCCAGCCACCTCTCTCCCCCTTTGTCACCGCACCTGCTCAAGAGAACCCGGAGAGAAGAGAAGAGAAAAGAAAAAAAATAGAGAAATGTGGGACCCACACCATTTTCTCACTTACATGTGGGCCCCACATATTAATTTTAATTATTTTTGCTGACTAGTATACCATGTCAGCGAAACCAGGCCTCTATACTGCCTTGGGAGTTGGGACCTTTTATGTAGGTTTTGTGGTTAAGTGACTAAAAAATCTCGGTGTAAAGTTGAGGAACGGCCGGTGAACTTATTTCTTTTTTAAATAAAACTAGGAAGATAGCCCGCGCATTCGCGTGGTCATGCGCATTAGTTTGTTTCGAAAATAGTTCTAACAAAAAATAAAATTAAAGTAATATATGTTCTATTGTTAATTGAGTATTTATTGTATCTCTTTTTATGAAGAAATCTTAACAAACTTTCATTAGTAATAAATATTTTTTTACATCCTGCTAGCCCTCTCTTTAGTTGCTTCATATATATGCAATTCGTTATGCATGTGAATCAATAAAGATAGAAAAAAATCTTTTACAAAATATTTATTGTATTTTGAATTTAGTGATTGAGTGATTCTTAATTGGACTTTGTATTCAAATCAAATTACTTTATTCTAAATTGTCTTTTTAGGGATTTTAAATTATACTTAATCTTGTATCGTGTTGTATTCGAACTCTTCTTTTAATACTTATTTTATTATTCCAAATTTTAGATATTTATAATTTATACTTTTATAGGGACTCTTGATATTTTATATTCTACATGGAATCTTGATATATATATTTTTTTTATAGTTTTAGTGTTTTTTTAAAATTTTTGTTTGTGTATTTTAATCAAATTGCTTGTTTTATATTTTTTATCTGAATTTAATTACGAACTCCTTCTGGTGATCCGCCTGTCACCATCAGCCTCACCGACATTGTTGACCTCCTCATCAGTGAGCCTCTCTTGATACATTGGACATGACGTGGCGGGGCTCAGTGGCAAAGATGAAGCTGTTTTCTAGTTCTTGTTGAAGACATGGAACGTCTCCCTCTGCCCCCTCCTCTTAGTCCTTGCCCTTCATCTAATCATTTAGCACGCTATTAGGTCCAGGAACTTGTAGAAGTCAATGCTGCTGCTGCCGTCGGTGTCCACCTCACTAATAATATCTTGTAGTTCCACCTTCATCGGGCTCAGGCCTAGAGTATGCATCATGGTTCTAAGCTCCTTGGTGGTGATTGAACTTGGACTTTAGACCCACACATTTGAATTCATTCATCGTTTTCGAAGCGCTATTTTGCTCAAATATTTGTAGTCGGAATAGCCGCATTATCTAACTTCTATATAGTAAATATGGGCAATATGGATCTTGAATTTAATTATAAATAACACAACAAATCAAATAAACTGAGAAAAGTACATGTAACTTGAGAGTCATGATCATTTAGCTATTATTACTATTTTTTATATATTATGTGCTAGGTAGAAAATATGAAAAGTTAGCTAAAAAAATAGGATATGAGAATTGGATCCCAGAGATGAGTAGGACGGTGGAGGGAGTACGTATGTACGTGCATGCTCACATACGGTAGGGGTGGAGGTGGGTGTACCGGATTTATTTTTGTGAGATGTAGCAATTATAATTATTGGGTCTACCTATTTAAAGGAAAATCAATGGTTTGATTTTTTTTTATCATAATTTCTAGGAACTTTTAATTTATTTGAGCGCTACATGGCGTCTTATGAGTGTTTGTAAAAAATCATGTGACAGTTTGAGAGTATTTGTAGGGAGTTTAATGAATTTATAGTATATAATAGATAGTTAATATAGCATTTTTTTGGTTCTTTATGTACTGAACAGCTCGCTAGAAAATATGGATAAGAAAGTGAGCAGGAGAGATAATAAGAGATCATTTACGATGGCATGATATATGTTACTTTTTATAATATTTTATTACTATTTAGTTGTGATATAAAGGAGTTTATGTCAAATGATATGTTTCTTATATATGTACATGCCAAAATATGGTAAACATAGTTCAAATTAAAATCGAATATATTATAAGATATTCTAATTATTTAGTTGTGTTTTTTATATATAAAATTTTGCTACCATAAATGGAAGGAAGAAGAGAGGGGTGGGGAGACATACATACTTTGGATGTACGTACGTGCTAGGAGAGGAGGGACCTAGGGAGAGGTGTGGACGTACCGCGTACGTGACATTTTTTTTTACATATATAGATCTAATGGTGCATAAAGTGAAAATCAATGGTAGGATGTTTTCCTTTTTTTTCTTGGAATTTCTTAGATTTCTCTAATTTATTAGAGCGCCACGTAGCAGCTTAGAAGTGATTGTAGGAGTCACATGGCAGCTTAAGAGCGTTTCTAAAAAGTTTAATGGAATTACTCATACGAAGTCTATTTGTAGACATTTTTTTTCATAAAGATAGAAAAAGAAGAAAGAAACAAAGGGAAAAAAGAGAAGGGAAGATAGGGATCGTACACAATACGTGCATACTGCACGTAGGTAGGGACGGCGGGAGTTTTTTTTCTTTAAAGATAATCTAACGATCTAAAATAATCGGTCCACCTATTTAAGTGAAAATCGATGGTCAGATTTATCTATTTTATTAGAGTGCCACGTGGCGACTCAAGAATATTTTTAGGATGCCACGTGGCGGCTTGAGAGCGTTTGTAGAAAGTTTAATGGACTTTTAGTATATAATAATAGAAGATAGATAGATAGATAGATAGTTTAAGAGTATAAGAAGTGTGTGCTCCTGTTAAATGGAAGTTTAGTGTAATCCAATCCCACTTAAGACAGCAGCCTCAGTCCCAAGTCCCAACTCGTGAATGCTGGCCTGATCATGAATTAAAAAAAAAATTGTCGCTTGCGCGCGATGAGGTGGAGTTATGCTGACTTTTGCTGGCCTTCAGGCTCCATTTTTCTTCATTCAACATTGAGGTGAATAAACAACCCAAAATCTTGGAACCAGTCAACGATCAGCCCGAATTTCGCCGTTGTTGCTTGCCTACCTCTCCACTCCATCATTCGCAAATTTTTTGCAGAACACAGCAAGGAGTAGCAGAGAATGAGCGAGATGCAGCCGCACGCCGTGTGCTTGCCGTTCCCGGCGCAGGGGCACATCACGCCGATGATGAAGCTGGCCAAGATCCTCCACTCCAGGGGCTTCCACGTCACCTTCGTCAGCACCGAGTACAACCACCGCCGCCTCGTCCGCTCCCGCGGCGCCGCCGCCGCGGCCGGAATCCCGGGGTTCCGCTTCGCCACCATCCCGGACGGCCTGCCGCCGTCCGACGCCGACGCCACGCAGGACCCGCCGTCGCTCAGCTACTCCACCATGACCACCTGCCTCCCCCACTTCAGGAAGCTGCTCGCCGACCTCAACAACCGCTTGGCGCCTGACGACGACGACGCCGCGCCGCCGGTCACCTGCGTCGTGGCCGACCACCTCATGGGCTTCAGCCTCGACGCCGCGGCGGAGCTCGGCGTGCCGTGCGCGCTCTTCTGGACGGCCAGCGCCTGCGGCTACATGGGCTACCGCAACTTCCGCCTGCTCATCGACATGGGCATCATTCCCCTCAAAGGTCTGATCATTTCTTGAATTTTTCAATATACGAATCGTGTCGTCGATTCGTCTTCATCAGATTGCTCTGCTTGGCGATCGAGCAGGGGAAGAGCAGCTGACGAACGGGTTCATGGACATGGCGGTGGACTGGGCGCCGGGGATGAGCAAGCACATGCGGCTCAAGGACTTCCCCACCTTCCTCCGCACCACGGACCGCAACGACATCCTGATGACGTTCCAGCTGCGGCAGGTGGAGCGCGCGGAGGAGGCGGACGCCGTGGTCCTCAACACGTTCGACGAGCTGGAGCGGCCGGCGCTGGACGCCATGCGCGCCATCACCCCGGCCATCTACACCGTCGGCCCGCTCGCGTTCCTCACGGAGCAGATCCCGCCGGGCGGGCCCCTCGACGACATCAGCCCCAGCCTCTGGAGGGAAGACGACGCCTGCCTCCGGTGGCTCGACGGGAGGAATCCCCGGTCGGTGGTGTACGTGAACTACGGGAGCGTGACGGTGATGAGCGGCCACGAGCTGGAGGAGTTCGCGTGGGGGCTCGCCGGCAGTGGCCACGACTTCCTCTGGATCGTCAGGCCGGACGTCGTGACGAGGACCGCCGCCGCCACCGCCGCGGAGGCGGCGCTGCCGCGGGAGTTCACGGAGGCGACGAAGGGGAGGGGGCTCGTGGCGAGCTGGTGCGACCAGGAGGCGGTGCTGCGGCACCCGGCGGTGGGGTTGTTCCTGACGCACAGCGGGTGGAACTCGACGGTGGAGGCGCTGTCCGGCGGCGTGCCGATGCTGTGCTGGCCGTTCTTCGCCGAGCAGCAGACCAACTGCCGGTACAAGTGCGTGGAGTGGGGCGTGGCGATGGAGGTGGGGGACAGCGTGCGGCGGGAGGCGGTGGAGGGGAGGATCAGGGAGGCCATGGGAGGAGGGGAGAAGGGGAAGGAGATGAGGAGGAGGGCGGCGGAGTGGAAGGAGGCCGCCGCTCGAGCGAGGGGACGGTCGCTCGCCAACCTTGAGAGGCTCATCGGCGATGTACTGCTCTCTGGTAAAAAGGACAGGGTAATTTGATCATCAAATTCAGTAGAGCGTGTACTTGATTGGTGCAAGTAAAAGTATTATGCGGATGCTAGTGTGCAACTGCAGCATCAGATCCATGTACCACAAATGCGTTGGTGATCCATGGCAGCTGTGCAAATGTGACTTCTCGCCTATTACGAATACCTTGGTTGGGATGAGTCTCCTCTTTAAGTAAAGTTAGAGGGACATTGTCCCTGCCATGTGGGACCCACAAAGGTTGGACCCATATGTCAGTGACCCATGTCTCTCTGACTTTACGTCAGAGGAGCGCGATCTCTTGGTTTGGGTAAATGTGTAGACCTGGTAGATGAGCTGTGGCAGCACCCGAGTTGCAATAGCCTTTTACTTGCGTTATTTCTACACACGCAGCGGCCGTCGTGGCGTCATCCTTCTATTTTGCAATAAGTTTATTTTACCTCTCTCATCTTTTGCCTTGGTTGAATCACATCTCTCAACCGCGAAACCGGGTATAACACTTCCTTCAACTAAAAAAAAGGTTCAAATCAACTAATTCGGCTATTTGAATAGTGGTTTCTGCTGACGTGGCATGTTGGCAAGTTTAAAGTGTGCTGATGTGATAGCTTATCAAAGAAATTGAAAATACAAATGGGTCCCACATGTAAGTGGCAGGTAAATCTCCTTCTCAATCTTGACATGCCTCGATGCGTCGCTGCCGTCGGAGGAGAGGGAGTGGTCGTGGTCCGTCGCGGCGGTAGAGGACAAGATGGGGAGTGCTCCCATGGCGGCGAGGGTACCTTGACCTCACGGCATGATGGCCACCTAGAGCATGCGGTCGACAGCGGCGGAGGCTGATGGCAGCAACACGGTTGGAGGTGTGGCCGCAGCAGTGAGACAAGCGTGGAGGGGACGGAAGTCAGCGGCAGCAGCACGCTGCCCTTGTTACCCCATCTACATCTATCTTCTGTGTCTTCGTCTCCACAAGATTAATCACCGAGTTCCTCGAGGCCTCCCTCCGTATTCCCGACCTCACCCTGCTCAAGAACAACATGCAATCGTTCTGTTACCCTACGTCGCCGCCGACCCTGGACGTCCTCATGCAAGCCATCCTATTGATAGAGGCGGACGTCGCATTGATGGATGTCAGTGCTACCATGTGGTCGGTGCAGTCAAGGCTGACGAGGTGCCCGCGGCCGTGGAGCTCAGCAGAGGCGGTGTTCCAGGTGCCCGAGGAGATGAAGCGGATGCTTGGTAGGTGGTTTTGGAGGAGGGATTGGGTGGCTATGGAGGAGACCGGCTGATCGCAAGTGGAGGAGTCGCCAGCCGTGGCACGCATTGGGAGGAGCTCTCCAGCTGCGAGCTCCCGCTAGCCACTGCCGCCACCTGGCGAGAGAGAGAACTTAACATAAAAGAGAGAGAGGGGAGAGAGTGGTGAGGAAAAAGAAAAAATGAGATCAAGATGATAGATATGTAGGGCTATTATTTTTTTTCTCACTGACATGTGGGTCTCATGAGCGTCACATAGTATGAAAACGCTATCCAAACTACCGAGAGACTCGATTTGCTCTAGTTTTTGAAGATGGAGGAGCCATTATATCCGATTATGAGGTTGTGCGAGGCGATTTAATCAGGGACAAGACTTGACAGAGTTTATATATATGTCATCTTATTTAATAAGATTGAAACTCTTATTAAGAAAGTGCACTGGGAATGGATTAAAGTTTATACTGATTAAAACCAACCCACTTTATTCCGTAATAATTTTTAATTTTTTGTTACCAGAGTAATCAGCTTCAAGTCTGGGGATGGTTGTCAATTAAAAAGGCGGGCGGCGATTGCACACCGATAGCGGCTTGCCCATTTACTGAAGCATAAATTTGGTTCCGTGTGGCATTCTTCAGCAGTTGCCCACTCTCCATTCTGCTGATCTCAACATGCAACCTACTTCACTATCAGTTCATCAAAGTAAAGCAATTGCATCATTTAACAACTGAGACCGTCGCAAGAACTCAATATATATATATTCAGTAACTTTATGCTACTTGGAGAAGTAAACCAGCAAAAGCAGGGTCAGATGTGATCTTTTAACAATCGGGCCGCGGCTTGAAAAATCAACACGCCTAACCATGCCATTACGTCAGGGAGTTTCTATGGGAGATGCGAAAATAAGATTATTGGCAATCGAAAGGCTCAAGGTCGCCGGTTCACCACGATGGAAGCAGGTGAAGAGATCGAGGACGGTGAACCATCCACACCCACCTACAAGGCTCATCATCCTCCTCCCCACCTCCCGCCGCCGATGAGGTCGTCCGGCGTCAGCCTGGTCCTGTCGGTCGCCGACCTCGTCCTCCGGTTCGTCGCCATCGGCGGCACGGCCGGCAGCGCCATCGCCATGGCCACCACGAGTGAGACGCTCCCCTTCGCCGCGCCGTTCGTCCGGTTCAGGGCGGAGTACAGCGACCTCCCAACGTTAATGTAAGCGTGTAGTACGATCTAAGCTAGCTAGCTGCAGCCGTCGCGATGTGCAGATGACAACGGAAGACGTGTTATCGATATGTACACATGTGTGCAGGTTCTTCGTGGTGGCGAGCTCGGTGGTGTGCGCGTACCTCGTGCTGTCGCTGCCGGCGTCCGTCGTGCACGTCGTCAGGCCCGGGGCGAGGAGCAGCCGCGCCATCCTGGCATTTCTCGACACGGTAGCTTCTGACGGCTGCAGCTTTTACTACTGGCTCGCTCGAGCCTTACGTGCGTGTTTGTACTGAGAAACGAATGACATGCAGGTGATGCTTGCGCTGCTGACGGCCAGCGCGTCGGCGGCGGCGGCGATCGTGTACCTGGCGCACAGGGGCAGCGCACGGGCCAACTGGCTCGGGATCTGCCAGCAGTTCACCTCCTTCTGCCAGCGCATCACGGCGTCGCTCGTCGGCTCGTTCGCCGCCGCCGTCGTGCTCGTCGCCCTCGTCTTCCTCTCCGCGCTCTCGCTGGCGAGGCGCGCCTGATCGATACGTGTGTCACTGTATCATCCTTATTTACTTCCGAATTTGTGAGATGTGTTGCACAATACCATTTGTTTTCTTAAATTCACAAATGTTTGTTGACGCAACATAGCAACACACATTATGCGTATATGTGTATGATACTCACGTTTTCTCCGATTAATTAACGAACTTAAAATTTGATTACAAATTCAAGACGACAGTAGTACATTATTAAGTTCCTATATATAGACCTATATAGGATATATTTACAATCAAGCTAGGAACTCTGTCACGTCATCCAGAGACTTGAGAGTCTTCTCGTAGTAGAGGTACGACTCGTACACCTTGGGCGTCCGCACGAACCGATCGAACTGCACAGCACATTAGAATTAGCACTTGTTTTTGCAGTAGCTAAACGAGTTAATCACCGTAATTAACGAGTAAAAAAATTAATCGTCAATAATCCGTATTAAGTTAGCTTAATTTCATTTGGGAATGTATAGTAGACGAGACTGACCTCGGTCATGTTATCGACGAGCTCGTTGGCGACGCGGACGTAGTCGGCGCGGCGGGCCTCGGGGACGCCGAACATGGCGGTGGTGAGGTCGAGGTCGAGGTACTTGGACTTGAGGCGCACGTAGAACAGCACGTACTTCCACGACATGGTCTCCAGCATGGGCCGCAGCGTGCGCATCCCCTCCGCCGTCTGCCGGATGCGCGCCGCGGCCTCCTCGGCGGTCAGCCCGGGCTCGAAGAACCGCTCCCTGACGTACGACCTCGTGCCCCACCTCGGCACCGTCCCGGGCCCCGGCGGCGGGGGCGGCACCGCGGCCGCCTCCGCCGCCATGGCCGGGGGAGGCGCCGCGGGGCGCCGCGCCGACAGCGCCGCCGTCGCAGCCAGCGCCGTCGACGCGGCGACCGCGAGCCGGCGCGTCGCGGACTGCGGCCCGCCGCGCTGGTGCCTCTCCCCCGCCGCCGCCGCCGCGTCCGCCTGCGACGCCGTCCCGCGGCGGCGCGCCGAGGTGGGGGACGAGGCAGACGAGGAGGAGCTAGTGGCGGTGGAGCACAGGATGAGGTGCTTGGCGAGGGTGGCCATGGCGAGCGAAGTGGAGGGGAGTGATAGTGCAAGTGAGACTGAAAGTGAGGAGTAGAGATAGTTTTCTTGAGGTTGGAGAGAAGGGTGTGGGTCGTATGGTAGGGAGATATTATCCACTTTGTTTTCATTTGGGCCTCTGAGACAGTACATGTATGCTTACACTTTTTTTTTTTGGTATTGTGAGGTTCAAAAGATATGGTTGATAAAAAAGGGATAAGGAGAGTTTGTCTCACTAGCTGTGTTGCTGGAGGCTGAATTAAGGCACTGTTTAGATCCTCTAAAATGATAAAAGATTTGCTATTTTGAAGTATTTTTTGTCATTTTAGATCTAAACACTAGTAGTAAAAGTTGGAGTTGGCAATTTGTCATTTGCCATTTGCTAATCCATAGTAGCGAATTGTGCCAAAAAGTACTTTGGGACCACTCTCTCTCTCCACCAAAAAGTGCTAGAATGTCAAAAGTTTAGGATGCATCTAAACCAACTAGTACTTTTGTAATGCCAAAACTTTTGCTATTTACCATTTCAACTTTTGCTAGTACTTTTGTAACTTTAGCTAGCTTTCCCCTGCACTTTAATTTCTAACACATGTACATACTACCAAAGTATTTCATTTTATGGATCCTTTGGCCAGTCTTGAGAATTTGGACATCAGTATTATCAATTTCAGATGTCCAATTTGCTAATGGTGTAATGTCAAGAGAAAACTGCCCTACTGTAATGATGTAAAACCAGACAGTTCCAATTCAGCTTGCACCAAGTAACAGAATTATTGTACAGTAGTACATCTTTATTTCTGTGACTAGGGGAGCTTTAGATTTTAAGAAACTATTGTAAAAAAATCAGCTAGAGAATATGAAAAGAAACTAAATTTTAGCGTAAAGTTTAATTTTTGGATTATGTTATTATAGTTTCTTAGAAATTGAACCAAAAGTTAGATTGTTTAGAATAGCTGTTGATTCTGAGAGAAATTATAACCACTAGAAGCTCCCTAAATATATCTTATATCTAACAGTAACCTACAACTGCGAGGCTTGACCCCAAAAAAATGTTGAAATGGTAAGGACAGTGAAAAACAATCACACGTGAAACGATGAAAGCCGTCTATTAAGCAAAGTACTTGGGGAATCAATTCATGTTCCGAAAAGTACACCGAACGTCCCTCAATTTGTCATCTAGTTACAAAATCGTCCCCCAAGTGTAAAACCAGATATCCCTCAACTAATTAAAATCGGTTACAATAGATCCTTTGGTGGTTTTAATCCCGGTTTTATCCTACATGGCGGCAGAGTCAGCGTGGGACCCACGTGGGCCCCACATGTCAGGATGCCACGTCAGCGCACACTCTCTCATTCCCCTCTTCTCTCCCTTCCTCTCTCATTTTTTCCCCTGTGCATCATGGATTGCGGTAGCTTCGTCGACGCAGCGGGGAGGAGGTCAGGGACGGCGGCCCGAGAGGAACGGGGGTGGCGGCGGGCGAGCTCTTGCACTAGGAGGGGCAAGGCAGGAGAGGAGGGCATCGGCGGCCCACGGCTAGCGACGGGCGACACGGCTGCAGTGACGGCAATGACGACGTCATCCACAGCCAGCGACAGCGGCGCCGTCTCTACCTGCGCCGAGACGGGCAGAGGCAATGTCGTTGTCGTGGCATCAACGACGACAGCGAGGGCAAGACGCCTCTCCACCTCCACCTCTATGTCCCCGCCCACCATAGCCGTCCTCTACGATCACCACGGCCCGCCCCAACAAAGTCCTCAGGGTGGCTAGGCTGCCGCCGGCAGAGATCGGCGACCGCGATGTGTGCGTGCGGATGCTGGTCGCCCCCATCAACCCCTCTGACCTCAACCATGTCGAGGGTGTCTACCCCGTTTGCCCTCCCCTCCCCGCCGCCGTTGCAGGCTACGAGGGGGTCGACCAGGACCACGCCCTCGGCACCGCCTTCGATTCCCCGCTCCTCTCCCCCAGTGATTGGGTCATCCCTTCCCCGCCCTCCTTGGGCACTTAGCAGACCTACATCGTCAACCCAGCCACTGCCTGGCACAGGGTCCGCTCCGATGTGCCTCCCCCAATACACCGCCACCATCACCGTCAATCCACTCACCGCGCTCAGGATGCTCCAAGACTTGATGCCGCCATGGCGCTCAATCTGCTCAGCTCGACACCACCATGGCGCTCGCTGACATGGCCGGTGCCACACCCGGACAACACGAGGCCTCGCCACCGCCGCACGCCACGTAGGTGAGTAGTAGTAAATCCGTGCGACAATCTTGACTACCGCTGGCTGGCACATGCGCATCGAACGCCTTGGGCTTGATTTTGGTTTGTGCTATGTCGGCAGGAGGCGACGGCAAAGGGCGAGCAGGAGGACGAGACGGAGATGGCGAGCACGAGGCTGAGCCTTGAGCTGGGCAAGGTCGGAATCCAGTCGTCGCCGCCATGCTCCAGCAGCTCAAGCGCCGGCCACCCCACGATGCAGCCTGCCGCCACGGCCACGGCGGCGCCGGGCTATGGCCCCAGGCCACGCCACATGCTCACCGAGGTGAAACCGACCGCCATTAAAATTCCACGAGCCACAGGCCGTCGCCGGCAGCCGACGCCTCCTCTCCCGCCAGCCTCCTCCCCACCCGTTGACCAGTCTGCACAGAGAGGTGAGAGAGAGAGAGGAGGAAGGGAGATAAGAGGGGAAATAGAGGGGGTTGACGTGGACACCCTGACATGTGGGGACCACGTGGATCCCACAATGACTCAGCCGCCACGTCGGATAAAACTGGGGTTAAAATCACCTAAGGACCTAAAGTGAACGGTTTTGTAAGTTGAGGGATGTTAGATATCTGGTTTTGTGATTAGGAGACGATTTTGTAACTCGATGACAAGTTGAGGGATCTTCGGTGTACTTTTTCCTTCATGTTCGGCCGATGGCCTAGTTTTTACTGCCGAGGGCCCAAAACTCCAAATGCTATTCACAAGTTTAAGCCCACTACGACACAAGTCATCTTGTCATGAGGGACGTGGTCTTTATGTGGGCTGGTTCAGAGGCCAGCCTACACCGCCTAATCAACCTGCCACCAACTGGGTAAGCCCCAGGCCGTGCGAAGCGGCATAATACTCTCGGGCTCTCGGCCGACCAAAGCAGGAGCAACGGCGGAGGAGCTAAGGGCTTATTTCACTTCTTCGACAAAATAAGGGGAAAAACATAGGAATTTTAGAGAATTTTAATTCTATAGAGATTTTAGAGAAAATTTAGTAAGGGCTCTAACTTTTTGAAAAATTTCCTTTGAATCTATCTCTCTCATTTATTTCCTGCGTTTTTCCTACGCTCCAATCAAACGACCATTCATGTATTTTTCGTGTGTTTTGCTATCCTATGTTTTACACTTTCATTCCTATCAGAATCCTGTATTTTTCCTATTCCTACGTTTTTCTCAACCCTGCAATTTAAAAGGGCCCTAAACCTTATCAATTTTTAGCATTTTCAAATTTTTGGTAAGGGTAATAAACTAAACAAAATTTTATCATTGTAGCCTTACCAAACCCTACCAATATTTGGTAATTCTAAAATCTTCCACTCACAAACATCAAACTAAACACCATATCCACATTTTGATCTTACCCAAAATTGTTAGTGCTAATCTTTAACTTTACCAATAAATGGTAAAGTTTATCTAGGTTTGTCTTTCGGCGGCCTAGCGAGTGGCCCGTGCGCCACAAAGAGCAAGTGTGAGGCAGCACGGCGGTAGTGTGGGAAGTAAGGGCATGTTTAGGGAAGTTTTTGACAGCAGCCGCTTCTTCTAGAATCTTCAGTTGTCAGAAGCTCCCAAATAGTAAATATTTTCATTCATATTTTGAAAAACTGTAATTATAGAATTAAGAAAATAAACTATAATACAGACGTTGGGTTTATCAGCTTCATCAAATTCTCACCGGTTAACTTCTCTCACCTACTGTTTTTCAGATAGTTAAACTCCCAAAGACCTTAAGCGGGAGGGGAGCGTAGGTCTGCAGATCTGAGTTAGTTGCCCCTCGGCCAGGCAAACAGGCACACCGACGGGTTATTTTATTGGTATTTATTTGCTTCTTGCTTTTAAGGCTTTTAGCCTTTCATGCTGCTTAGTTATTTGCTTCGTGGTTTGATACAAACTGAACGATTATTTTTGGAATAGAAACTGAATGATTTTTTGTTCGGATTACAAACTGAATGGATGTATTAGCAAATGTATATGCATATACAACGCATGATCATAACTCTTGGCATACTAAATATTACTACTAACATGTTCTCCAAAATAAAAAAAATAACTCGACATACCGGTTTAAGGACCATTGCACAGATCCGCCATCCACATGTTTTAGACCCTGTTTAGATGGGACTAAAACTTTTAAGTCCCTATCACATCGAATGTTTGAACACTAATTATAAATATTAAACGTAGACTATTAATAAAACCCATCCATAATTTTGGACTAATTCGCGAGACGAATCTATTGAGTCTAATTAATCCATGATTAGCCTATGTGATGCTACAGTAAACATTCTCTAATTATAGATTAATTAGGGTTAAAAAATTTATCTTGCGAATTAGCTTTCATTTATGTAATTAGTTTTATAAGTAGTCTATATTTAATACTCTAAATTAGTGTCTAAATATAGAGACTAAAGTTAAGTCCCTGGATCCAAACACCACCTTATTTGTATCTTTTTCTGTTTGTAGGGAGTAGGAGTACTACTAATGTATTGGAAGGACAACAACTTATCAATTGTCATACTCCCTCTGTAAAAAAAAAAAGTAAATCTAGGACACATACTATTACAATAAATATGGACAGATACATGTCTAGATTCGTTGTACACTTACATTAGAATGTGTCACATCCAATACTATATTAGTTTTTTATGAGACAAAGAGATGATATAAACTGACAATAAGACTATTCTACGAATCTATTACTCTACTCCCTCCGTCCCAAAAAAAAGACAAACCCTGTTTTCCGTACCCAACATTTGACCGTCCGTCTTATTTAAAAAAATTATGAAAAAAATAAAAAAGACAAGTCACGCATAAAATATTAATTAAGTTTTATCATCTAACAATAATGAAAATACGAATTATAAAAAAATTTCATATAAGACAGACAGTCAAAGTTGGACACGGAAACCTAGGTTTGCTTTTTTTTTAGGACGGAGGGAGCATGAATCTTTTACCTACTCCATGTGGTGTGTCCACAGCACCGTACGGTCCAACCTGTATGGTGTGGCTAAAATTTTATTCTGGGTAGGGATGCAAGCAGGACAGACAAGCGGGTTTTTGCCTGTTTATCTTATTTCTTATTTATAGTTTATTTTCTCTTCTAAATTTTGTACTAGCATATGGAAAATAAACTAGCAAACAGGTTTTTTATACGGGTAGCGAGACTACCCACTTACATCTATAATTCTGGGTATGCCCCCTGTTTCGTTCCTTTCCATATTCCCTGATCTGAGACATACTACTCCCTTCGTACACTAGTATAAGGGATATTCACTATTTTTTTTTACGTTTGACCACTCATTTTATTCGAAAAATTTGTGCAAATATAAAACACGAAAAGTTGTGTTTAAAGTACTTTGGATAATAAAGTAAGTCACAAAAAATAAATAATAGTTCTAAAATTTTTTAAATAAGACGAATGGTCAAATAGTACAAATAAAATGTCAAAATCCCTTATATTAGGGGACGGAGGGAATACTAAGCTAAATCTATTTTTTTATTAAGATCTTGTTTAGTTCGCAAGCGAAAAATTTTGACGTGTCACATCAGATATATAGACATATATTTGAAATATTAAGCGTGCACTAATAACAAAACAAATTACAGATTTTTCTTGGAAACTATGAGACGAATTTATTAAGCCTAATTAATCCATAATTAGCAAATGTTTACCGTAGCACTACTTTGTCAAATCATGGCACAATTAGACTTAAAAGATTCGTCTCGCATTTACATGCAATCTGTGTATATAATTAGTTTTTTATTTGTCTATATTTAATATTCTATATATGTATCTAAATATTCGATGTGATAGGGTGAAAATTTTTTGTTTGGGAACTAAGGCCTTAGCTAATCGCCTAATCCCGCAGTTTTTTTTTTCCTCTGAGACCATCATAAGTTTTGCATGCTGTGCTGTTTAGCTGCACGGAATCGTCGCGTAAGGACGAAAGAGAGAAAACAAGATGTTTCCTTAAAAAGAAAAAGAAAATAAAAGAGAGATGTGACATTAGGCCATGTCTTTTCATATATGCTTTAATATAAATTGTTAGATTTTTTTTTCTAGTTAAATTTTGTTAGGTTTGACTAAGTTTGTTAAAAAAATTTAGCAACATCTAGAATATTAAATTAGTTTAATTAAATATAAAATTGAATATATTTTTATAATATGTTTATTTTGTACTGTAGATAATGTCGATGTTTGATGTCGCGATTCCGGTATTTGCATAGTATGGGGATCGTTGGTACTAGGATATACGCGAGACTTAGGTAAAAGAGATAGGGACGAGGATTTTTATACAGGTTCGGGCCCCTGAATTGTCAGGTAATAACCCTGCATCATGTTGGCCGAAGCCGGTATTGCTCTTATTCACTATAATCACACCAGTACAATATTTGGGGTAGCCTATCTAACTGTTGTCGACATGGCGGTCTGAAGTTCTGACTCGTAGTCGACAACAGGGTAGTCTTCCTCTTTGAGTTTGTGCCCGGCGAGATCAGAGACAGCGCTAGATCCGTACGGCCGGCCTCTGTAGGTACCGGATAGGGTCGATCCAGACATATCTCTGATGTCGATATCCGGTGGCTTGTCTTGACGTATGTTGGCTTGTATGTTGATCTTGTGTCTTGATCTATTATTCCGTGTCTTCTATGGTGGGTGTCTCCCCTCTCCTCCTAGGGGGCCTTGTATTTATACCCATAGGTGTCCCCTTGTCCAAGTAGAATTAGGGAAACCAATATGGATACAATCATAGTAGTCCTTATCGTTTCCATGTAGAACTTTAGTCATCCTTTCTTATGCGGAACTCCTCCTATATCTGCAGATTGTTTCCGTATAAGACATGGTATGTGGTGGGTCCTGTCGAGATTTAGTCAACTACTATTAGGTATGTTGTTTCTATAACCCTGACAGATAATATTATAGTTTTCTATAAATTTGATCAAACTGAAAGAAGTTTGACTAGAAAAAAATTTAAACGACTTATAATATGAAACGGATGGAGTATTATTGTTGCGGACTGCTCCACACCTACTATAAATATGTGTTTTCTTGAGAAAATTCATTCATCGATTCATTGTTCTAAGTTTATTTGTTAAATATTTTATTCATATCTGTAATTATGAAGTAACCGGTATAACAAACGGGTGAATACTCTAATTTTAAATTGGGCCTTAAGATGTTGATGTGCTACATCGCAATACTCTATTCATTTCAAAATATAGTGCATATTTTATTTTATTAGGGCGGTTTTGATAAATAGTTGCTTCCATAATATATCATTCATGTGATACGAAAGTATTTTTAAGATGAATCTAACAACATCAATTTTGCTTTAAAAAGTTATACATACCTAATTGTAGGTTATCATAACAAAATAAAGAGGTGTCTTATATTTTGAAATGAAGGGAATAATACGTACATCATATTATCATATGTACTAGCGTCAAATACAACAAATTGGTCTATACACTACCATTTACTACAAATTAAAATATCACTAGTACTCAAATTTAGCACGGGTGACTAATGAATTCTTTAGAGTGCAGGATTCTCCGTAAAAATTAATTCAATTTTATCGATATTCCTTAAATCTTTCCATTTCAAAGGAAGCCTAAATGTACAGTGTACTACGGTACAATCGGTAATTGTTCAAAATCAGAACGCAACTACGCAAGGCATTGTGATCCTCTGTCGTGACTGGGTGTTAAGGTAGAAGATGGGCAACCCTCTTGTAGTTTTGTGCCTGAAAAACTGGCCAGACGAAACTAATTGCTTTTCTCGACTTATTCGGATCGGAGCATGCTTCTTTCAAAATCGTTTTATTTTTTTTGAAAAATAGGATAAACCTGACCTCTACGCATCCAATCGGATGTATGTACTGCCATTTCAAAATTGATATGCCGTCTAGGTTCTGGTCTAATAAGCAACGCTAGTCAAATGAGACGATTATATAGTTTCGGCAATTGTTGACTGACCATATATATGCTGTCTCTGTTTCTAGAAGATTTGTAGTACTTGCTTGATTTGATATTGCCAATAAAGTTATCTTTTCCTATCTCGAGAGATCTCAGTTTTATTCATAAATATCGTTGTTTGAGTCACTTCTATGACAACTTGGTTAGAGCATCGTTGACAAAATAAAAACTATAACACAATTGGCATATTCAAGTTTTATTTAGAATATTAAGATACCTGCTTAAGATAGGGCTTATAAACCGAAGCTAGTTTTATATTATAGAACTTAATTTTAGAATGAATTTAAGTACAGTTTAAAACTGGACTCCTTCCGATCATAACTATTTAACGTTCAAAATAAGATTTGATTAAAACTCTAAAATTATAGCCATCCATTTATTTATATTAGAACAAATATTTAAGCAAAATTTTAAAACCCGGACATAAATCTACCAATAAATTTATGATATTATTTTTTGTTCAATTCTACTTATACTACTTTAATATCGATATTAAGATACTGTTGATAGGTGAAATTTTAATAGTTTGGTCGAATCTTATCCTAACTAAGGGTGTGTTTAGTTCACGTCAAAATTAGAAGTTTGGTTGAAATTGGAACGATGTGACGGAAAAGTTGGAAGTTTGTGTGTAGGAAAGTTTTGATGTGATGGAAAAGTTGGAAGTTTGAAGAAAAAGTTTGAAACTAAACTGGGCCTAAACGTGAGATATCTACGAGCCGCGAGATAGTAAAAAGTAATCCCTTCGTCCCCTAATATAAGGAATTTTGGTATTGTGCTCGCACTGTTTGACCATTCGTCTTATTTAAAAAAATCTTGGAATTATTATTATTATTTGACTTACTATCCAATGTGCTTTAAGCGCAACTTTTTATTTTTTATATTTGCAAAAGTTTTTTAAATAAGATAAGTGGTCAAACAATGCAAGCAAAATCCCTTATATTAGGGGACTGAGGGAGTATAGCAGAGTACCATAAGAATCGTTTATTAAAATTATATTTTATTGTAATATATATCTACTATTATAAAAATTGAAAATATTTTTGCCGGTACTTTGGTACGTCATCCGTGTATAAGTCGGTTTTTAAGTTCGTTCACCTTTGGAAATACAAATCCGTATTTGAGTCCGATTTTAAGTTAGTTCGCTTTTGGAAATACAGAAAGAGTCGTGGAAGAAAACTTTCGAAAAAACTCGCATGCTAATTTAAGATGATCAGATTTCTAATTGCAGTTCACCTTAACTAAACCGTAAAACAATAATAAGATTAAAATAATCTTCACCCATTACAACGCACATGTATTATTTTTTCAGTATAATATAATATAACAATAATATACCACTACAATTTATAAAAAAAAATCACCCTCGCTGTGGGGCCCACTTCTGGGGCTAGTACCCACCTCGCCATCCGTGGGCCCCACAGCCCCACTCCGCCCTGCACCGCAGTTGCAGCAGTTCGCACTTCCCAGTTCCCACCCCCGGCCAAATTGAAACTCTTGTCGTCCTCACCTGGAAGGAACCCCCCGAACACACGCAGCCATGGCGAAGCCTAGCGGCGGCGGCCTCCTCGACCTGGAGCACCACTTCGCCTTCTACGGCGCGTACCACAGCAACGCCGTCAACGTCTTCATCCACACGCTCTTCGTCTGGCCCATCTTCCTCACCGCGCTCCTCCTCCTCCACCTCGCCGCCCCCTCCGCGCACGCCGCGGCCGCCGGCGCCGCCGTCTACGGGGCCTTCTACCTCCTCCTCGACCGCCGCGCCGGCGCCCTCGCCGCGCTCCTCTGCTTCCTCTGCTGGGCCGCCAGCGCCGCCCTCGCCGCCCGCCTCGGCTTCTCCGCCGGATGGAAGGTGCGGGAAACCCTTTCTCTTTTCCCCCCTCTTGCTCTTCACTCGGGGGCCGTCTTGTGATAGTTTTGATTTTGAGTAGCTAGCTAAGCTTTTCTTAGATTCTAAGGTCCTGAGGATCAGCGATGGAGATTAGCTTTTGCTTTGGGTTGAGATGTGCCCCTGTGACTTTCGTGATGGTCAGCGATGATTAGTATTTTCTCTCGTAAATTTATAATTAACTTCTCTTTTGTCCGATTTTTAGGTTGTGATTTTTGCGGGGGAGGAGTAGCTTCTCCTTATGTGATTCATCTATTTCCTAATTTAATCCGTAGGCCAAAGAAATTTCGCTTCATCCTTATGTGATCCATCTATTTACTAATTTGATCCTTAGGCCATAGAAATTTCGCTCGATTGGGCGATACCTCAGCTTATGGAGTATACAGTTTTAGTGGTGTGTGCAACAGTTTTAGTGGTGTGTGCAGTTCTGGTTCGATTTGGTGTGGTAATGCATGACTGGTGTATCGACAAATAGAAATCATCTTTTTGAAGCAGAAGAAAAACTGCAAGTCATGACTTAAATCATGTCAAATGAATCGTGAGGCCTTGTTCGGTATTGTGCAAGTCATGAATTAAACGAACAAGGCCTGAGTGGGTTAACCTTTAGTTGCTAACTTTAGAGTTGTAAAGTATTGTGTAGTTGTCTGATCTGCAAATAATCCATAGTCATTTGTTCTGTTTGTGAAAACCAATTCGTAAGATGGGGCTGTGAATATTCGTTGTGACAGGTGATGACTGATGAGTCATATGAAGTACTAGTCATGCGAATAACGTGAATGTAGTGTTTCTGAAAGGTGATGAACCACATGAAGTACTTGTCATGCAAATAATATGATGTAGTGTAATATAATGCCCATGTCGGAGGAGCTCCCCTCGTAACAGCATGCTTTACCCACTGCTAACTGATGCATCAATCCAAACATTGGGATCCATACTTCTTGTTTGTGTCATTTGCTGATTGTTAATGCCCTATCAGGTTCCTGCTCATGGTTATGATACACTGATTTCGCACATATAGTTACTGTTAACAGCAAGAAGGCATTTTATAATGTCTTATGCTGCATGATGTTTGTTTGCCTCAACTAATTCAGCTTGAGATAAGCTATTTGATGTTGTCATAACCAATTCCAATGTTCCTAGTCCACTGAAAATTGCAATTTCAGTAGCTAGACAGTCCAGGTCTTTGCAAGGGATATATTTGGTTCTGTGTCCTTAGCACAACAATTTTAGAATCTGACCCGAAGATGAAATTGGCTAATTTCTTTTTGCAAAATACCTGTGGCTGATAGACAAAAAGCTCATTGCCTCTTGTTTTCTCTGTTTATATGAATTGAAGCTGTTGCAAGATTCTTTATATATTAAAAAAAATCCATAACTTGTGTTTTTTTTATACAGGTGGTATTGGTAGCTCAGCTGTTCTGTTGGACTATGCAGTTCATTGGCCATGGTGTTTTTGAGGCAAGTCTCTATAACACTAGTTCGGAGTTATGACTCAAACTTATGTATTAAATGTAACTCTTCTCATCGTAGAAGCGAGCGCCTGCCCTCCTTGACAATCTTGTCCAAGCTTTCTTGATGGCTCCATTCTTCGTGCTACTAGAGGTAAACTGCAGAGAAATATATGCAGTTTCTTGATTGCCTCCTTGCAAGGTGACATCGAGATCACCTCATGTATACCTTGTTTCTTTTGCTTCAGGCTCTTCACAAGTTTGTTGGGTACGAACCGTATCCTGGCTTTCACGCCAAAGTGCAGAAGCTGATTGACGAGGCCCGCAAGGAATGGGAGGACAAGAAAGCGAAGAAGATGACGTGAAGTGTGATTTGGAAGTTGGCAACCCCCATACTGCAGAGGCGTCTTAATCACGTGGCCATTTGATATTTTGATTAGACGGAACTGTGTTAACATGTCGCTGCCAACATATTGCCTTATTTATGTTGTAATATATAAAGAGTTTTATGCACTCTCTTGTCTGATGTGTATACGTTACTGGAGAATATAGAATTCTGATGATGATTGTGAACTGTATTAGAAAATAAATACAGGAAAGTCTTTTTACGGTGGTCTCTTCTGTACTGGTACTCTACTATAAGCTGGAAAAATATATATGTAGTGCAAATAAACATGTAAAGTACCGTGGGGATTAAAAAATTAGATGTACGAGATTTTTTCATGTCGGGCATTCATTTTTCATTTTTATAGTTTTCAAGTTTCCATTACACGTGGATTGTACATATATTTTCTCATCTAAGCCATTGATGTATTTGTACTATCGATAAAAGATAATCATACTCGCTTAATTTTGTTGGTGGCTTTCATTATTAGTTTACGACCCGTTTGATATGCCTCCAAACTCCTAAATTTAACTCCAATAGCGGAATAGAGGCTAGAGTTGTGTGGCAGCTAAAACCCATTCCACATTCCTAGTTCATTTTGTGAGAACACTTCATCAAACTTCACTCTCATTCTAGATGGACTTGAAACTGTTGGCTATGTTGGAGCTCTGCCAACCAGGTCCTGCTAATAATGTAATCAGATGGCTTGCACGAACTAGAGGGAAGTGCATATCAGGACCTTGAAAGGGTACGCCTAATGGGCGGGTGATCGCTCCCTCCCCTATACTCCAACGCTCCCTCCTCTCTCCCCTTCCTCCTCCCCTTTTTCTCTTCCTACTACACCATAAATATTTAAATTTAATATTTGACTTATAAACTTTGGTTCTATAAACTTTAGGTGTATAAACTTTAGATGTATAAAAATTATATATATATATATATATATATATATATATATATATATATGAATTCAAATTCAAATTTGAATCGGGTATATAAACTTTTGATTTATAAACTTTGGGTCTATAAACTTTAGGTGTATAAACTTTAGATGTATAAAAATACTATATATATAAAAATATTTGAATTCAAATTTAAATTTAAATCGGATATATAAACTTTTAATTTATAAACTTTGGGTCTCTAAACTTTAGATGTGTAAACTTAAGGTGTATAAACTTTAGGTGTATAAATTTACTAAAATAGGAAAGTAATGCGGTGCCAAAAAAGAAAACCAAGTGGAGGGGAGGGAATCTAATCTGATCGCCGCTAGCTACCTCTAGCGATCAATCGCTAGGTAGCATTTCCGCCCTTGAAACGCCTGCGGCGTAGGAAAGTACACCGAAGGTTCCTCAACTTGTCATCGAGTTACAAAATCGTCCCTCAACCACAAAACCAGATACCGGACGTCTCTAAACTAACAAAACCGTTTACTTTAGATCCTCCGATGGTTTTGAGCCCGGTTTTATCTGACGTGGCAGCTGAGTCGGCGTGGGACCCACGTGGGTCATGTCAGAATGCCAGATCATCTCTCCCCCCCCCCCTCTCCTCTCCCTTCCTCATCTCTATCTCTCACTTCTCTCCAATTTGATGGCGACGCAGGCGACGCGGCTGCGGTGGCAACGGGCGGCGCGGCGGCGGTGCGGGGAGGAGCTGCGGGCGGGCGGCGGGGGGAGGAGCGGCGCGCGGGCTCCCCCGCCGGCCGCCACCCACGAGGCGGCGGCGCGCGGCCGGCGAAGCGGGCAGGCGGCGGGCAGAGCGGCTGCGGCAGATGCACCCGCCGCACGGGCCTGCCGGAGGATCGGGCGACGGCGCGGGGAGCGGCCGGCCGGTGGAGCAGACGGGGCGCGGGCGTGCGGCGGACGGCGGAGGTTGGCGTCGGCGTGGGCGAAGCGGATGACCGGGTGGGACTCGCGGGCGGCGATGTCGACGCCGCGGAGGTGGACGCGACGAGGTCGGGGTAGGCCTAGTGGTCGGGACGGTAGAAGAAGAGCGGCATGGGGTGGCGGGAGCAATGGCGCTAGTGCTTGGTGGTCGCGGCGGAAGGCGTCCGTGGCGATAAGGTCGTGCAGACGCCGCTGCAGCGGGCCACCTCGGCGGCCGGCATGCAATCAAAATAACAAAGTATTACCGTTTGTTATGGACAAAAGCATGAAATTTTATTCAGAATAGCTCATGATTGTAATGTTACCACATTCTGTTCACTCATAGCACAAATTGACTCTGCAGTGCACACTTACTAACAAAATACATTAGGAAATTTCATTGAATTTATCCATGCAGTTTGCATTGTTTTTGTATCAACAACATCTGTTTGGTTCTGCTTTTATAGTTTTATTTTGAACATTAACAGGCTAACTCTAACTCATATACAACTGGAAGGCATCATCCTAACTTCACCAGCGCTGCATGCAGCGGGCCACCTCGGCGGCCAGCCGTTTGCCGCCACAGCCTGGTTGCCTCCGTTCGCCGCCGCAGCCTGGTCGCTTCCGTTCGCCGCCGGCTCCTGGTCGCCATGCTCCTCGACGGCGCGAGGATCGTCGACGGCTGCTACATGGCGAGGCGCGGCCCCGCCGCCATCAGCATCCCCAGCGTCGAGCGGCGCGCGGTGGAGGAAGCCGCCGCCAGCGACTCCACTCAGCGGAAAGAGGAGAAGAAGGAGGCTGCCACGGCGGCTGCAACGAGGATGCGGACGGTGGCGTTGCCTCCGCCGGCACGACGCCGGCCGCCGGATCCCCGCCCCCGCGGGGCCTCCTCCCCACCCGTTGGCCGCCCTGCCGCCTGCCGAGAGCCCGAGATGAGCACAGGGAGAGAAAGAGGATGAAGAGAGAGGAGGGGAAATAAGAGAGAGGTGATGAGGTGGCAACCTGACATGTGCATAGGTCCCATGCTGACTCAACCACCACGTCGGATAAAAGCAGGTTCAAAAACCACCGAAATATATAATGTGAATGGTTTTGTTAAGTTGAGGGATATGATATATCTGGTTTTGTGGTTAGAGGATGATTTTGTGACTCGATGACAAGTTGAGGGACCTTCAGTGTACTTTTTCCGCGATTTTTCGTGGCATTTCTCCCGGCCCAGCATAACACGGGCCATCGACGCGAAGGTTCTGGGCTGCCTAGAAATGCAGACCCAGTCCATCGTGCGTGCAGCGTTCCGTATCGAAAGGCTGAAACACAAGTTCAGGAGCAAGAAAACAAATGAAGCTGACGATTGAGGTTGCTGAAAAATCTTGTTTCAAACGAGAGAAATTGGCGGAAAATCTAGTCGTGTTGTGCTACTATTATACTCTTTGGTCTACCAATCATGCAGACAGTGAGAAAGTGACCGTTGTCAAAAGTATATAGTAGTTTGGATCAGCAAGAACCATACTGGTACTGTTTACTGGTTCAAAAAGTTCTGGATACATGCGTACTTTAGGGTCAATGCTGCATGGATAACCTCATCATCATGATCTTGGACGGCGCCCAACTACTGCAATATGCCGATATGCTCTTGAATTGGCTGGCTAATTCAAGATATCACAAACTGCAGATATCACACTCTTCTTTTAGGTCAGCCATGCTTTTCTTCGGTTTTCCAGTAATGAGCTGTCTACCTTTAGATTTTTAGATGATGGGATGCCCTTTTGGAAATACAGGGCAAAAATCATCTATTGATCCTGACGGTTCTAAATGGTGGCCAATTTCAGTAGTAACCATGATGCCATTGAATCGATGTTACAGTTCTTCAACCGTATCTGTTGAACATAATGGAGGTGGAAAAAAATTTTATACTAAAGTTCAAACCCTGCTTGTGTTGAAAGCAAAAGACGAGTATTCATATTTGTGCATAAAGAAAATTTCAAGGGTACAATGCACAAGATATTTATTAAGCGTGATATGGCAAAGGCAAAGGTTTTGTTGGGGGAAGAGAAAGAAAGTATTCCTTCCGACTCGAAATAACTTCACCTTTCACCATTTTCTTTGTTCCAAAATTATATTTTTTTTAGCATCTTAGTCGTTCCAAAATAACTTTTTATTTCAAATAATCATTGCATTGGAGTTTGTCGAGACACTGAGTCATGGATAAATAAGGGATACGGGGAGAATATTGTTTTCCTGCCTATCCTAAGAATGAGATGAGCTCGAATTGTAAAGTATGTGACGTGGTATCTCAATGAATAATAATCATCCTCTACTATAGGATCTGGAACGGCTTATATAGCCCCATATGGTACATGCGAAATTACATTAATGTCCTTGAGGGTATATTGGTACATTTGGACGACTTAAGGGACTACTGGTGCTAGCTTGCAGGAGTGGTTGGAATGGTCCCACGACATCTTATTTTGGAATATTCCGAGGGATGGCGTAGCTATGAAGCCTCCCCTTCAACCTGACAAGTTCTAGCTGTCCCCTATAGCAAAACTCAAACAGTGTATGGTGGGTAAGCACAACTTTTCTTTGAACCATTTACCCTTTGCCTTCATCCAAACATGTAGGAAGCTTCAAAAAGTATTAGCCGTTAGTCATGAATAGTTTGATGTTGCCTTTGGGTGGAGTGGAAGGTGCAGCGCGTAGTCCCTGGTACAACAGAATTTGTCAAAATGCGAGAAACAATTATATTGGGAGTAGATAACAGTGGCGAACCAAGAACGATAATTACCAAGGGTCCTTAAAAAACATACTAATAATCTAATTATTGACTGATATACTAAGTAACATGATATAGTTTAGTTAGAATTGGATAATATATCCGATGCCCTTTGACCCCCAGAAAGGAGAACATAACAATGCCACTGCATTAGAGATAAAGTGAGGATATATAATTGTATTGAGATTTGATGAAGTGATGAACACTCTATAATTGCATTGGGATTGATGAAGTGGTGGAACTTTTTTTTTCTTTGGTATTGATATACGTAGTATGTAGCTAGGAGGAGTGAAAAAAAAATTATTTTGAGATAAAGTTAATAGTTTGTTTTGGCTAGTTGTGTAAACATGCTGGAGGCAACAGACATGAAGTAGTAGTAATAGATAACACCTGAAGTGGGCAACCAATATTGTTTACAAATAAGATTTGACAGGGAGATTATTTGACCACATATTATCTTTAGAACAGCTTACTTTATGTTGCTGACATAATATCATTTTCACTAGTGCTAGCTAGCATTACTTTCTGCCTGCACAAGCTGCATTTCAATTAGAAGCACTCAGCCTCGTGGACAGATTATGAGATTATTTTAGATGGAATAGAACCACAGGGTGCATTTGTCCATGGTATGATGAGCACTGCAGATCTGCAGTAGTTGAGATTTTTTTTTTCTTGATCATAACTTTGTAGTTCTCAGGGA